GTGTTCTCCTCACTCTCCTCTTTAACAAACACCATCTTCACAGAAGCAGATCTCCAGATGATACTCCTGCAGATATTCCTGCTTTCTTCTAATCTTAGTCACGACTATGAGGATGAGAATATTACAGGTATTTACTAACCTGATTCAAAAACTGTATTTTTCTGCTTACAGAAACAGCTTGTATTAACACAGCATCAAGACAAAACAACAGAGATTACGGTGAAACTAATCGTCTTCCTCTGAGGTTTAATGGTGTTTGGCAAAGAAACGTATGTATTTTAGCGCCACCCGCTGGACTGGAGTGTGAAGCGCCAGTTATCATCCACAATATCAGTTTATTACTGTTCAAATGTGATTAAGTACGAGTTTGTATGACTGCATGCATACTGTATATTTCAACGAATGTCATGCACGATGATTTTGATTTTGGGTAGTTTTGATGCCATAAGCCAGTTTTGATTACTTTGCATAATAATTAATTAACGATCAGTTATAATTACACACTTGTCACAGCACTCGTCAACCACTTAGGATAAAAAAAGTCTGCTAAATTATTCAATTTAAATGTATAAAATATTAAAAATTGTAACAATGAAAAAGGAGTGCACGTTTCCAATGTATGTAGGTGTCTTTAAAGAAGAGTACTGTAAATATGGTTTAATAAGCTGTAGAAGCTTAGGCGAAATGCCATTAATTAATCTCAGAAATTCTATACGAGTAATATCAATACTGCTTTCTTTACTGAATTTTTCGTCAGAGTCCCACCAGTGTCTATACATTTTGAAATAAAGATATTATTTTCTACACATTCTTTATTAAATATCGTCCTGTTTTTATACAGAATATATTGATTATTCCATACATTTGTGAGGTGAAAAATTATGCTTAAAGGCTAGTTTCCGAGAATCCAGTGCTTTCTTGTGAAAATCTGATAACTTGATTGGTAACTTATTACGGTTAAAATTACAACCTAGCAAAAACTTTAAGCCACCACAATGGTTAATAAGTTTGGAATGAAAATTTTAAACACCTGCTTGAGAGTTGTGAAATCAACAGCATTAAAGCCTCTGTCAGCATGGTCCCTAATCATTGTTTTCCTTTTGATATATTCAGTCTTGTTTTTCCAATAAATTTGAACAAAAGAGAGTCAATTTATGTTGCTGTCTTTTTGTCCACATATAATGATAAAGCAGGGTAAACCATTCTTGAAATTCCTTCCGCTTTTGAGAGCAGTGTCCTTCCTTGTATAGTTAAGTCCCTTTGAAGCCATCTGTTAAAAATGGTTTTTGTTTTCTGTAGCTTAGGTGTAAAGTTGTCATCCAGTCTTTCCTTTTGCTGATTTTTTTATTGTTATTCCGATATATTTCACTTACTGCTTGACCTTAATTCCACTGATTCACACTCAGAACCTGGTTTTCATCTTTAAGAAAAATACATGTCATCTGCTAGCTGAGATATTAAAATAACATTGTCACCTATTCTTATACCTTCAACATTGATACAATTTCCAGTATAATGATTCAATAATTCTGCTGCAATTAAGAACAAAAAGGGGGAAATCGGGCAACCCTGTCAAATACCTCTACTAAGTATGAAACGCTTAGATGTACCTTCTGTGAGGGAAAGACAACTATTTAGGGAAAGACTATTTATCTAAGGCTGTATATGGGTTGTTGACGTGACATAGCATTTTCACTGTCCCACAAGATAAAAATTAATAGAATTAATATTGTTGTTATTTAAAATGCAGTAAATCATTAAACATTTCTTTGTCCTACATGGACCTGTTGTTATAAAAGTTGCAGTGTAATTCGATTTTTTTAATTTTTTAGCCAAATTTCAAAATTGTCCTATTGTGTGACTGTCTCAAGCATGGTTTAATAAATTACAACTTTTATAAATTAAAAATAAAATCATAAAAATGTTAATAAACACCTCCGGCATAATTGTACAATTGTCTATTTTAGTAAAGGCAATAATTTTTTTTTTTTATCCATACATTTATGAAAACAGGAACTTGATGCATTTTGTATGTAAAACTCTGAAAACCATGTCCTCTGGTGTTTATTTATTTAGTCATTTAGCAGACGCTTTTATCCAAAGCGACTTACAAATGAGGACAATAAAAGCAGGGGTTTTTGTTAAATGTGAGCCAAAATCATCACAATTAAAAGAACCAAAGACTTAAACTACTTCAGTCTGTGTGCACTGAATTTATTTAATACACGAGTTTCACAATTTGAGTTGAATTACTGAAATAAAGGAACTTTTCCACGACATTCTAATTTATTGAGATGCACCTGTATGTCCTTTTAGCAGTGGAGGCATTTGCAGAGAATGAAGAGAGGAATGATCGATATACATTAAGGTCAGTAGGATTTTGTGATTTGCGCCATACTCTTTCTGCAGCTCTGAGCTTAGAACGATACTCACAGAGAACATCAGATAGCCAAGGGGCAGAACCCATTATTGTCACGTTTGTTTTCCTGATCTCCTATGTTTTGTTGTTTGACTTGTGCTGCGTCCTAATGTGCCTACTTATACTATGCCCTTAAAGTATGTACTTTTTTGATGAAGAAAAAGTGCACACTTTTGAGTGTGTAGTAGAAGAGTAGGCAAGCTTTGGGACATACTATAACGTCATACAGTTGCGTCTTTAACACACCCTATCACTGTACTGGCCTTGTCAATCATCTTGTCACAGTTAACATCCTCCACATTTCATTTCATTTAACTTCCTACCATATCGGAGAGAAAAGAAGTAGCACGTTGATCTGTGAGCCGCGGATCTTCATGCGGAGAACTCTGCTCATATTTTCTGCATAATGATGCATTTAAACATTAACGAACAAATGGATGTTTATAAAAGTTTACATTGCTGTTGCAGATTAAATATAACACAGATAACATTAAATAAATATTTTTTACCAGGTTAAATGTTGATTATTAGTAACTCAAACCCCTTTATCTAAACCTCTTTACTTAACCGTCGGTCGTACGCATCCACCTTGTTTGTAGCTTTTTAATGCTTTTTATTTGTGTTTGTAGTTCTCAACCGAATCATTCGTCAAAGCGCAATGGATTGTGGGTAATATTAGCCATTAGAGAGTGCACGGATCCACACTTCAAAAATCGACCTGAAATAGTAGACCATCCAGTGACTTTTGGCATACTCTTTTCAACACTATGTTTTGGGACACACTAATTCTAATCTCATATACTATTTAGGATGGATAGTATGAACGCAGGGCTAGTTTCCCTTAGTTGCCCTGATTAGTTCATTCTGTTTGACTTTTGGCATACTCTTTTCAACACTATGTTTTGGGACACACTAATTCTAATCTCACATACTATTTAGGATGGATAGTATGAACGCAGGGCTAGTTTCCCTTAGTTGCCCTGATTAGTTCATTCTGTTCACCTGTGTGCCGTCTCGTTTGCTCATTTTGTCTTTATAAGCCTTCAGTTTCTGTCTACTTGTGGTCCTGGATTAATGCTTATTAAATGGAGTATGTTAGTTGATGTGGATTAGTTCTCCTGGTTATTCTCCTGTCCTTTGTTTTGAAGTTGGAATTAAAGACTATTTACGTTTACTCCATCGTCGTGCGTTATTACTACAACCACATCCTGTGACAGAATGCAGGACCTTGTAAACAAGATGAACTTGGCTGAGGACCAGCTGCGGCAGGGTGGTCGGCTTTTGGAGAGGTATGTGGAGGAATTTATCGAGCTCCCCTACCTGGTGAACTGGCCTGACGCTTCATTATGTGCCTGTTTTCAGTTGGGATTGGACAAGAATACTATTCGTTGTAGTTCTCCTGTGTGTGATTTCTCTTTGGTCGAGTTAATCAGTCTCATCCTGTATTTAAACGGCTGTAACTCTGAGGTAGAGGAAGTTAGAAAAGATAAGCGCCGTTCTCGTCCAGCCCCTACTGAGAACCACTGGGCCTTGCCAGCTCACCCCAGTCCGGTATCCTCCACATGCCTGGCCAATGGCTCCGGCCGCCCCTATCCTTCTGTGTTTCCTCGAGCCCGTAAGTGTGTTTCCAACAGTGCTGACCTGGGAGCCAAAGTGGCAGATCCTGCATATACATCCATCCGTCCGGTCAGTGCTGAAAGCCGCCTTACTTCTTCCTTTGTCAGTCTCCAGTACCTAGACCCTTTCCTGTCCTCAGCCCAGAAACAGCACCCGCTCCATTCTT